ACTGCAAGGATTACAGGCATGCACCATATAGGAACAGTTTTTAATGTAGTATTTTTCATCATATGATGTGATGTTTAGTTACATTATCTCATGTATATATGTACACACACACACATTGAGCAACAGAAGTTTTGTTGGAGTCACAATGCTGTTCCAAGCACAGACTGAATGAAATCAATGATTTTGGTGCACTAAAAAGCAGCCTACTAACCTCTACTACCCAGTTACAACTTGTGGGTATTGGTTGAATGACCTACAAGTTCAGTAGGTCATTTAAACACCCTTTCACTCTCTCCAGCTGATACTATGAATACCCTGTGACCCTTCTAAATCAAGTGGAATTCTTGTGGATCTTTTCCTATTCATGCACATCAAGCTGCTTGTTTATCTCTAAGCGTTTGCCACCATGCTTTTATTAAAGTTGGAAAGACATAAGGCAGAGGTTCTTTTTTTTTTAATATTTGTTTTTTAGTTAAAGGTGGACACAATATATTTTATATTTRCGTGGTGCTGAGGATTGAATCCAGTGCCTCACGCATGTTAGGCAAGCGCTGTGCCTCTGAGCCACAACCCCAACCCCAAGGCAGAGATTCTTAACCTGACTTCTTGGCTGTCAGTGAACCCTGAGTATGTGAATGTTTATTTTGGGGGAGGAGTTATTTTAACTTTCTAAGGATCTGTAACTTTTATTTGATTCTTATGATCCAAAAAGTTAAGAAGCATATAAGTATCKCGAAAAGTCCTTAAAACTACCAAAATACATTTTTAAGGTAGTACTTCAAATCTCTGAATACAGATTTTGGGAATTCAGCAGGATCATATCTAGTTTCCCACTTTAACTGTCTTCCACTTTAACCATAASCCTATGTTCAACAGGAAAGTTCCAAAGTCCTCTTTTTTCCTAGGACTGTGTGAACACTGAAGCTTAAGTTAATGCAGCCCTTTCTCTGCCATTTGCTCAGGGATGCAAAAAGCCCAAGGGGAAAAGAAGGGCTTTCTGCATTTTTTATTAGTGACTTAACATACTAGTAGGGCATATCTGGTCTATTTAATATGGAATAAAATGTAATGATTATTCAGGAGAGATACTTACAAGCACACCTCTGCCCTAGGAGTCCTTCTCCAGCTTCGTTTCCCTTTCTGTATCCAAAATGGAGGCATGAGAATAGATACTACAGAGTCTAATTTTTTTTTTTTTTTTGAGGGGGCAGGATGTGCTGGGAATTGACCTCTGGCACTCAACCACTGAGCCATATTCCCCAGCCCTATTTTGTATCTTATTTAGAGACAGGGTGTCACAGAGTTGCATAGCGCCTTGCTGTTGCTGAGGTTGGCTTTGAACTTGCAATCCTTCTGCCTCAGTCTCTGGAGCCATTGGGATTATAGGCATGGGCCACTGCGCCCGGCTTAAATTGTGGTTTTGATTACTATAGTGTCTGCCCAACTTGTTATAATTCTCATGAGCCACTCTGGTGGTAGTTTCCTTGTAGTCTAAAGCCAGATTCTTCTGGGGAATTGCCATCCATATACCTGTGCCTTGATTTAAGCTACCATTTCATTTCAGGAGTTCTTCTATAACTCGAGTTTTATGTAAATGAAGACTGGATGTATGTGTTATTTGTATGAGTGCATATTACATTAAATATCAAGCCGATGCTATGAGAATCTGAAGTATTCAAACCACATGAATAAAAGCAAAATGCAGGGGCTGGAGTTGTAGCTCAGAGGTAGAGCATTTGCCTTATACATGTGAGGCACTGGGTTCGATTCCCAGCACCACATATAAATAAGCAAATAAAGGCCTATCAACTAAAAAAAAAAAAAAAAAAAGCAAAATGCTTCCTTGTAGGATTATAGCTGTGACTGTCTCATATTCTCATGTCAGTTCTCATCCTCACAAAGGACTAAACTGCTTTATTCCTAGGACTTATGCTATATTTTCTTCATATTTAAAGTGTGAATTGGGTGTCCTGATGGAAAAGAACAAAAAAGAGGTTAAGAAGATGTCAAGTACTGCCATCATAAAGTATTTTCCAGCTTGGATTTGATGGTGTTTCCGGGGGAGGGGGACACATTTCTAAATAGCAGTTGGCCCCTGGCCATAAAGCAGTGTCTAGGATGAAACTAGAAGGGGAAAGGTGGAGCAATTCATATGGCATTCAAAATGGATTCAAATTTTGGAAGCAATTCTCCCCAAAACTGTGATTTTTCATACATTAAAAAAAAAAAAAACATACACTCTGAAATTGTATCCAAACTCCAAAATATTAAAAAGTGTAAAATTATAGGGACTGGGGATGTAGCTCATAGGTACAGTGCTTGCTTGCCTATCTGTTAAGGCCCTAGGTTCGATCCTCAGACTGCACTGCAAAAAGAAGAAAATCATTAAAATTGTAGTTTCCTCCACTGTTAGCTAGAATTTGGATTCTGCAGTCAGACTGAAAAACCATGATTTTTAAAGAATACAGTCTTTGCCCCATTTTCCCAAGGGKAGCATTAATTTATATCAGAGTCACCCATGAAGCTGAAGTAATTTTAAAAAGCTCAACTGTATTGGGCSTTTACTTTGTACTAGGCATAATGTCAAGGGCATTTTTTGTTTTAATTTAGTCAAAAACTTTCCAGGTAGATAACTTTTTTTCTGATGAGAAAATAAGGCTTAYAGAGTGGTTAAATAATTTGCCTAAGGACAAACAACATTCTAGAAGTAATGAAGCTGGCAATTAACCTCAAAACTGCCACACCTCAGTCCTCCAGGTCTTCACAGTTACTCTAACCCCTTTCTATTMATAATGCCTAGCAATAGTAGGTGCTTGGTAAAAATATCTAACTGTTCACATATATTCAGCATTGTTTTTCTTTTTTATATGAGGAAACCGAGGCTCACAATTTCAGTAACTTTTATCAATTTCATATAGCTAAAATTTTAGAAATTGTAGAAACTCATTCTACATAGAGAAAAAGTGGTAGAACTGGGATTTAAACTCAGTTCATTTTTCTTGGGCTTGGGGTGTAGCTCAGTGGTAGAGCACATAATTAGCATGCATAAGGGCCTGGGCTCAATTCCCAATACCCCTAACCCCTCTCCCCAAAATGGATTTCATGTTTTTACCTGCCGTATCACACTGTTACCATTTAACCCCATAAGGTACTATTAAAGCTGTACTGCTTTTAAGATTTGCATGGCATTCGATTTGCTAGATTTAATTATTAAAGGGAATGGCCTCAAGTGCAAAAATGCTTCTGAATTTTTTTCAATTTTAAAGTCCACGGGCCTGGGGGTGTYGTTTGGTGGTAGAGCACTTGCCCAGCACACACAAGAGCTCTGGGTTCAATTCCCAGCACCTCAAAAATAATAGTAATAATAAGTAAAATCCCTGATATTATATTGTTGTAACTTTTGGACTTGATATTTATTTTCTCAGTTCATCATRTAACATTTACGTAGAAATCTAACAGATTAGTAGTATAGTAGTAATATTTATAAATACAGGTCGGATTCTCCTAAGAGGAAAGGGTGATGTGTTACAGGATCTCTCAGTCCACATAGGGAAATGAATTAAAATTGTCAACAGAACTTTCTGGGAAATAACCTGAGCAGGTATTTCAGGAATGAAACACAGTTGGGGCTATCCCTGTAGTCCCCACATCCTTAACCCTGGGAGCAGTGCTTCTGCTGGGTATCTTTTGTAAGAGCTGGCTACAATTTATAATGAACCTGTCCACAAGATGTTGAGGAGAAAGCTGAACTGAAAAGATACAGCAGGTGGCCTTTTGCCCAACCTGGAGGGGGTTGCCAGTATGGGAAGGAGCTCTCCAGGCTACCTGGAGAGAGGCTGAGCTGTAGGAAGAGATAAAGGCTGGGGGAGGGGATAACCTTTGTTAAGAGGCTGTTTTGGGGAAGGAAACATTCCCTTTTCCAGGGTGAGGGAGCCCCATTTATCCTAGATCTAAACCCAGGGTGAGGGAGCCCCATTTATCCTAGATCTCTATATTATCATCCTACTTGAGATGGAAAATAATAATAAAGGTTTCTGGTTTGAGTGTAGGGCTTGAAGGTACTCCACCTCCCAGAAGGGAAAGAAAAAGAAATGGCTGGGGGCTGGGCAGAGGACAATGCTGTTACACCTTACAGATAGTCATCAGTTATTTTCCCAACCTATCTCTACATTCAAGAGGTAATCATAATGGGCTGGGGATGTGGCTCAAGCGGTAGCGCGCTCGCCTGGCATGCGTGCGGCCCGGGTTCGATCCTCAGCGCCACATACAGGCAAGGATGTTGTGTCCGCCGAGAACTAAGGAAAAAATAAATAAATGTTAAAATTCTCTCTCTCTCTGTCCCCCTCTCTTTTTAATCATAAATTGTTAGGAGGTGGAGAGTAATAGTTCCTTTTGTTTTTGAGTCTCCTTTTGTGATACCTGTTCCATGAATTTAGACGGTGAGAGATGGGGGAATAGCTACCAGAAGCAAAGTTGAATTGGAAAGATAAAGAATAACTTTTAGCCTTTCCACGGGGCATTGGTGGTACACACCTGYAACCCCAGCAATTCTGGAGGATAACAAGTTCCAGGCCAGACTCAGCAATTTAGCAAGACCCTAAGCAACTTAGTAAGACCCTGTCTCAAAAAATATGAAGGGCTGAGGTGTGGTTCAGTGTGGTTAAGCACCCCTGGGTTCAATCTCCAGCACCAAAAAAAAAAAAAAGCTCTTCCTTTTGAACCTCTATAGATGGTTTTTCTGTCTTGGTGAAACACTTACTAGTCATGTGACTTGGTATAATTTAAATTCTATGGGCTTTAAAAAAATGGGAATTGTAACAGCTCTCTGATGACTCCACAAGGTTCTGAAAATTAACGAGAAATTGTTGAAACACTTTAAAAGCAATACAACATGATGCAGATAGAAAGTTAATTGTTTGGTATCCAACAGTTTGGTAGAAATTGAGTGATGCGCCAAAAGAGGAGCCTCGGTGATTGAGCTGTTTCTCTTCTTATTACAGCTGTCTCTGAAGGGCACAAATCAGACCSCACCATGCCTCCTAATAAAGAGGCCAGCAGTGTTACTAGCTCACCAGCAGGGCTCATCTGCCTTCCTYCAATTTCTGAGGAGCTACAGCTTGTGTGGACCCAAGCAGCCCAGACCAGTGAGCTAGACAGCAATGAACACCTGCTACAAACTTTCATCTACTTTCCCTATCCCAGCCTAGCAGACATTGCCCTTCTCTGCCTACGTTATGGGCTACAGATGGAGAAAGTCAAGACTTGGTTCATGGCCCAGCGCCTCCGCTGTGGCATTAGCTGGTCATCTGAAGAAATAGAAGAGACTCGAGCACGAGTGGTWTACCATCGGGACCAACTCCACTTCAAATCCCTTCTCTCTTTTACTCATCATGCAGGGCGGCCACCAGAGGAGGTGCCACCTTCTCCAGTGCCACCTTCAGAACAAGTTGGTCTTGGAATAGGCCCTCTGACTTTTAGAGAGCCCCCCCAGATAAAAGGATTGAAGGTAGAACCTGAGGAGTTCTCTCATATATCAACACTGCCACTGAGTCACCAGAAAGCAAAGGAGTCCCTTTTGACACCTGGCAGTGGAACATTCTCCCAGTCAGATTTTTGGCAGGATCTTCAAAGTAGTGGCCTCTCTAAGGAACTGGCAGGCAGTGGTCCTGACTACTCACATGGTGTAGGTACTTCTTCCTGGAACCACTCCATAGCTGTCCACCAGTCACGTGCTCTGGATAAGCCCCCATCAATCTCATTACTTGCCAGTAGTTGTAAGGAGGAGTCAGCACCTAGTMTGACTCCTTCTTCCTCCTCTACCTCCTCTTCGTTCAGGGTACTGGCTAATGGAGCTACTGCCACCTCTAAACCCCTCCAGTCACTAGGCTGTATCCCACAGTCACACTCACCCAAGGAACAGGCACTACCCCCACATCTGGAGCCAGCCTGGCCTCAAGGGCTACGGCATAACTCAGTACCAGGTAGGGTTGGCTCCACAGACTACCTTTCCCCAGATATGCAACGCCAACGAAAGGCTAAGCGTAAAACCAAAGAGCAGCTGGCTATTCTCAAATCCTTTTTTCTACAGTGCCAATGGGCACGGCGTGAGGATTACCATAAATTGGAACAGATCACTGGTTTACCTCGGCCTGAGATCATTCAGTGGTTTGGTGACACACGCTAYGCTTTGAAGCATGGGCAACTAAAATGGTTTCGGGACAATGCAGTACCTGGTGCCCCTAGTTTTCAAGACCCAGCAATTCCTACACCACCATCAACCCGCTCTTTGAAAGAATGGGCTGAGACACCACCTCTACCAATTCCCCCACCCCCACCGGATATACGACCTTTGGAGAAGTATTGGGCAGCCCACCAACAGCTACGGGAAATTGATATCCCTCAGCTGAGTCAGGCATCAAGACTTAGCACCCAGCAGGTACTGGATTGGTTTGACTCTCGATTACCTGAGCCAGCTGAGGTGGTAGTTTGTCTAGATGAAGAAGAGGAAGAGGAAGAGGAAGAAGAGGAACTGCCGGAAGATGAGGAGGAAGAGGAAGAGGAAGAAGATGATGAGGAGGAGGATTATGTGATCATACAGGACTGAGCGAGGGAGGGATTTTGGGAAGGAAAAGATCTGTTACTAAAAGATGAACCAAATTTTAGTAACTTTAAACAAAGAAACTACATTTTTTAAATTACCTTGTGGCAAAGAATTTAAAAGCTTTTGTATTCTTCAGGTTGGGTGATGGGGTTGTAGTAAGTTGAGGGTGGACCAAGGAGGATGATCATAGTATACAAAATCAGGGATTGGATCAGCAAATAATCCAGTACTCGAGCCACATGTAGAGGAGGCCAAGAACCTGGGTCAGGAAATGTCTCCTGTTCTTGTATAGGCTATTCTTTTCCCTTAGTGTACTACAGAAAATAGACCTCAGCTACACATATATAGGAGGCCTGGAAAGAAGGGGTAAAGAATTCTGATTTAAATAATANGAGGAAGAGGAAGAAGATGATGAGGAGGAGGATTATGTGATCATACAGGACTGAGCGAGGGAGGGATTTTGGGAAGGAAAAGATCTGTTACTAAAAGATGAACCAAATTTTAGTAACTTTAAACAAAGAAACTACATTTTTTAAATTACCTTGTGGCAAAGAATTTAAAAGCTTTTGTATTCTTCAGGTTGGGTGATGGGGTTGTAGTAAGTTGAGGGTGGACCAAGGAGGATGATCATAGTATACAAAATCAGGGATTGGATCAGCAAATAATCCAGTACTCGAGCCACATGTAGAGGAGGCCAAGAACCTGGGTCAGGAAATGTCTCCTGTTCTTGTATAGGCTATTCTTTTCCCTTAGTGTACTACAGAAAATAGACCTCAGCTACACATATATAGGAGGCCTGGAAAGAAGGGGTAAAGAATTCTGATTTAAATAATAWTTCTAATGAATCACCAATCCCACCATTTTCCCTGGAATATAAGACTGCCTTGTACTGTTTCCTTCCTCTCTGAGCACAAATTCTGTATAATGCAGTTAAGATTCTCAATAGGTACCAGGCCTTGTCAGAAATACTCTCTCTTATATCAATTTGATGGCTCTGTGTTTTACCTGCTTCATCACCGAATCACTGGTGGTAAAAATGTTCTCATTTTTTATACTGGGACAGCTTTGTCTTCTACCTTTTTATCTTTACAAAATCCCCTCTCTATTATTAACTATTTGTCTCAGGGTAAATCTTTCCCACAGAGTTTGTAAAAAAGTTTTAATAATAGGTAGTGAATATTTAGTCTGGATATTTATTGGAGGTGAGAATTAGGAGAGGATATCCTTTAAAAAGGTAGAATTACATTATAGAGTGATGGAGAAGAGGGGATGATTTCTCCTGTTCAAAGGAAGGATGGTAGGAAGTTCCAGGTTTGGTTTTACAAACTTGACACAAGCTCCTGTCTAGTTTGACAAAGACTGATTTTTCTTCTTCTTTCCAACCCCCACCCCAACCTCCTTGGCTCAGTTTGCATCCAAAGAGAATTTTCCCTCTCTTAACTGAATTAATTATTGATGTTTTGGAATGATTTTCTTCAGTTGGGATCATATACAAAGCAAAAAGATATCAATGGGTTAACTATCTGAAAATAAGAGTGGAAGCCCCAAATTGCTAGAATAATAATAAAAAAGCCAAAAATAAAATTGTTTCTCTTTTTTCCACTTTACCATGCCTATGGTTTAGAGATTAATGGAGCCAAGTCCATTAACATTTCTGATTTAGGGGCTGGGAGTGTGGCTCAAGTAGTAGAGCACTTTCCTACCATGTGTGAAGCCTTTAGTTTGATCCCCAGCATTGCTTTTAAAAGAGTTCAGGTTTAGTATACATTTTATTATTTGAAGGGGCAGGACTTGAGGTAAACTAAAAGAACAAAAACTAAAAGGCAGTAGGTTGGAATCTGTCACCACACATGTTGTTTTCCAGTGGTCAGATGATAATGATTAAAATTTCTGAGGTCTCAGCAGTGACAGATTCAACAGGCTTGGAGTTAACTCCATTGGTTCATCCATACCATTCCAGAACATAATGAGTTGCAACAGCCATAAAAGAGCATCTACTTTATTATCTATATCTTCCAATAAGCTGTATATCTGTGTCTCCAATTATTTTAACAAAGGAAAATCAACATATTTAATAGTAAATAGGTGTAGAGAAACAAAAAATAGGAAAAGCATAATAGGGTAAGAACAAGAGTTGGTACTTGATAACATGGGCATGGTAAAATATACCCAAAGCTAAAAAATGAAATCCAGAAATGAAACAAGTTGATGAATATATTATCCAGTCTCCTCACTTCCAAGCATGATGCCAAAAATTAATTTTATACCCTTAGTTTCAAATTGTTAGGAAATGAAAGGAGTAATGTACTTTCTCAGGGGGAAACATCATTAGTCTTATTTAGACCTAACCACTTTCCTGAGAGGTAATATCAAGTATAAAGATCAAAAGGAAATAAGATACAGAATGAAACCAGGAAACAAAACAGGGGCACATTTCCAAGGTCATCTCTGCTAATGAGTACTGGATACTACAGTCCATCCTTCAACAATATGTATAGATGAGACCTTGATGGCTTATCTGGAAGTGGTCCATTCTCTCTCCCTGGCTAATACCATCTGCCTCTGTTGGTAGAGAGTCTGCAGCAAAGAACAAGAAGGCAGATTTTGAGTGTTTATAAACAACAGAAAAGGCTAATAAGACCCTGTTAAGCTATTACATGAAGTTTATTGGGACATAAACCACCCCTGTTGCTTCCCCCATGACTTTTCCCCATTGCATAATGATTAAGCTTTCCAAACAGATTTGTACATTTTTTGTGACAAGGCTTTGTTGCTACCTATGAAGCTCTCTTTGAGTATTTCAATGGTTTATAATAATTTTTTTTTTTTTTTTGGTATTGCGGATTGAACCCAGAGGCCCTTTACCACTGAGCCACTTCCCTACATCCCTAGCCTGTTTTTTTATTTTGAGATAGGGTCTCACTAAGTTGCTGAAGCTAGCCTTGTACTTGCTATTCTGCCTCAGCCTTCTGAGTTGCTGAGATTACAGGGATGCATCATCACACCCAGCAAGAAGGTAGAATTCTTATGTCTCTGGGAGGATGCACTTTCTTCAAATTTTAATATTTACTTTTTACTTGTCGTTGGATGGAACCCAGGGCCTCGCCCGTGCTAGGTGAGCGCTCTACCACTGAGCTACAACCCCAGCCCCAAAAACTATTTTTAAAAACTTTTTAAAGTTTTTAAGTAGATTAGGCCAGGCACACAGCTGAAATCCTAGCAACTTGGGAGGCTGAAGCAGAAGTATTACAAGTTTGAAAGCATCCTTAACAATTTATAGAGGCCCTAAGCAGCTTAGACCCTGTCTCAAAATTAAAAAACAAAACAAAGAAACCCCAACTTCAATAAGTAATTCATTGTCAATCTTTTATTTCTCTTCCACTGCCTGTTCTACTAAATTACATTAAAACAAAATCCAGACATCATCTAACTTCCCACCATACAAAATTTCATATGTATCTACATAAAATAAAAACAATAACAATGTCGTCATATCTTAAAAAATACCCAATGCTAAAAATTGTTTAATTTTGATACTGGGTCTACTTTGTCTTCTACCTTTTTATCTTTACAAAATCCCCTCTCTATTAACTATTTGTCTCAGGGTAAATCTTTCCCACAGAGTTTGTGAAACAGTTTTAATAATAGGTAGTGAATATTTAGTCTGGATATTTATTGGAGGTGAAAATTAGGAGAGGATATCCTTTAAAAAAGTAGAATTACATTTTAGAGTTATGGGGGCTAGGGATGTAACTTGGTGATAAAGCCCCCAGGTTCAATCCCCAGTACTAAAGGAAAAAAAAAATAGTAGGTTTCAAATTTCTAATAATATTTAGTTTTCCTCAACTGTCTCATAAAATTTTTTTAAATAGCTTATTTCAATGGAGATCCAATTTAGGACCATATATTTATAGTTGTTTTATAGGTCTCTTAAGTCATTTTCCATTTGTAGGTTAATCCCTCCATTTGTGAGGATCTTAGAGAGGGATATTATTTCCCCAGTGTTGCCTCTTAAGGCTTAGATCCTAATTTCTTGCTGATGAAATAAAGGGCATTTTAGATTGTAGGAACAAAATATATACCAGACTTAGTATGCAGGAGTTTTCCCTGGGGACACTGGGAGCTTGGAGTGGAAAAGGACCTAAATACCCTTAAACCCCAAGCTATAAAAATCCATTTAAAAATCAAGACTGGACTTTTCATTTAATAGAGCCCTTACAAACTTCTCATTACCCTGCCCATTTCCTTTTGCTGCTTGAATCAGAATCAGTCCCATAAATTTATAAGGCATTATTCTACTTATCTCTGGAGAAATAAATGTGGTTTTTCCCAGTTCAACAGTACCTTCACCTGAAAGACACATTTCACTGAAAATATTCTCTTGTGGAACTACTGKGAATGTCAATGTGTCCTTTCTGTCCAAAACCTCTTAGTAAATCTTCTCAATACTCACTATTATGTGACTTAATTAAATAACTCAAACCAGGAAGCTAATCTCATAATAGGATAGAACCTTTGAAGTTGAGACTATCCTGGAAAATTGTTAACAGATGTTTATCAGTTGAAACCCATGTCATTTTCCACTGGTTACATTGTACTACTCTAACCTGAGACAAGAATGAGGTTGTTAGTGTGTAGGCCTAACCATATGAATTTTTATGCACAAACAAGTTGTACTAGCCAGGCTTACCTGAAGGACTGGTAGCTGGAAACCTGGAAGACTCTCTAGTGTGGTTCTGCTCTCCCTCTGACCTGAAGGATAGGATGGAATGGTGAAAGACAACTTACTTGGGCAGTTCCTCAGCAGTTACTTTTACTTGTGGATCAAGTATCTTGGTAGCTCTTAATAAAGGAACACAGAAGGGAAAAGAGTATTAGCTACATAATTTAAGAAGTAGGTTGCAGCCAGGCATGGAGGCACACACCTATAATCCAAGCAACTTGGGAACTGAGACAGAAGGAGTGCAAGTTTGAGGCCAACCTCAGCAACTCAATGAGGCCCTAAGCAACTTAGTGAGACCCTGTCTCAAAAAATTAAAGGGAGAAAAAAAATGGGGGGCTAGGGATGTAACTTGGTGATAAAGCCCCCAGGTTCAATACCCAGTACTAAAGGAAAAAAAAATAGTAGGTTACAAAATCCATTCTTTTCCTATGAAGATGGGGTACTGACAGAGCCATCTGAGATTTGAGTTTATCTTTTAATTTTTTAAAAAAACTTCTCAAATTTAAGCCCCGAATTTTTTAAATATATCTTTATATTTTATTTATTTTTATGTGGTGCTGAAGATTGAACCTAGTGCCTTACACATGCGAGGCAAGCACTCCACCACTGAGCTACAACCCCAGCCTCCTGAGGTTTGAGTTTAACTGTAAGTAGAAAGATAGGCACTGAAAAGATTTAGGCAAACTATGGAAGATGGGCTGGCATCAAAAGGGCTGGCTGGTGGTAGAGTACTTTTACTGAAAAGCACAAGGAGAAGAAAGCATGTTGGTGTTATAATTCTCAGAATTGAGTTGTTAGCATGTTCAAGATAACAAAAAAGCCAGTTTGATACTATAGACCAACCAGGCTAAACAGTAGGATTCAACTGGTAACATGGTGAGGACTATTTAGGCAAAATTCATTCATTGTATAGGAATTMGAATGACTCTTAACTATATATATATTAGAGTCAACTGGAAACAATGCTCTTTGGGGAATGAAACTCAATTTCTTGTTATCTTGGAAAATCTTCATTTTAGTATATGTGTCAGTGGTTGAAACTCCACTCCTTTGGGAATGTTTAACTTACCAGAATTGTTAGGGGTGAGGACTCTTGTGTGGCCTGAATCTCCATTTAGATATGGTTTGAAAGACAAAATCCCCTGTCCAGAGGAGGCAGATGAAGGTCTATAGAGGGGAAATAAAAGCATCAGCAGAAAAAGGGAAAGATCAAGGGCTGGGGTTGTATCTCAGTGGCAGAGTGCTTGCCTAGCATGCATGAGGCACTGGGTTCGATACTTAGCACCACATAAAAATAAATGAAATAAAGGCATTCTGTCCATCTACAACTACAAAAAAAAAATTTTTTTTAATGTAAAAGAAAGCCAATGCCTTTAGGCCAGGGGGGGGGGGGGAATCCCGTTTGAAACCCAAATTAAATAATTCTGATGTACATTAAACACAATGTTATTAACCTCTCCTTTTTTTTTTTTTTTTTTACAAAACAAATTATAAACTTCAGTGGTATAGGCTAGTGGAGAAGTAATCCCAGGGATACTGGCAATGTCAGTGTGAACAGATTCCTAAAGAAAAGAAGTTACTTACCTGTAAGATAGGCTGTGAGTTGAAGCTGGTGAAGGGGTTTCTGAAAGCATAAAAATGAGCTTGTGAGATTCAGATATATTAGGAACCAGGGCAAAAGAAATGGGGATCRAAGATTTTTTTGTGGGGAGGTACTGGGGATTGAACGCAGAGGCACTCAACCACTGAGCCACATCCTCAGCCCTATTTTGTATTTTATTTAGAGACAGGATCTGACTGAGTTGTTTAGCACCTCGCTTTTTGCTGAGGCTGGCTTTGAACCAGCCTATCCTCCTATCCTCCAGAACCACTGGGATTACAGGCATGCACCCCCATGCCCACAAGGATATTTAGTATAAGTTTAGGGGACGATGTTGAGTGGAAAGTCTCACAAAATCATCTAGCAGCATCTCATAAGGATGCTTTTTTCTCCCTTTCATGAGTCTGGGCCAGGATACATCACTGCCTTGATGTGCGCTAATCTATCTGTGTTTTGCCCTCACCTCTGATGAAGATTACCAAAAACTATGTCTAAAGACAATGAGTCATTAAATTGGTGATGAGTAACATCAGTAAAACTAGTGAACAAAGAGCTCCAAAAATCATCTCCTTCATTAAAGCAATGAGAAAACTAGAAAAAATGCTCAGAGTCAACTTTTTCAAACTCTGGAAATTAGCCAGATACAGTGGTATACACCTATATTCCCACTGATTCAGGAGGCTGAGACAGGAGGATTGCAAGTTTGAGGCCAGTTTCAGCAACTAAGCAAGACACTGTCTCAAAAAAAAAAAAAAAAAAAAAAAGGACTGGAGATGTACTCAATGGTAAAGTGCTCCGGGGTTCAATCCCCCAGTACAATGTAAAACAAAAACTCCAGAAATTAATAGAGAGCTTGTAGCAATCTGGAAAATATTTACTCAGGGGGAAAAATAGCTGAATGTCAATAAAAGCAGTAATCTTTGTGGCACTGTAACTTCTCTACTTCTCATTTCTCCTCTAGTTCCATGGTACCTTTGAAAATCAATTCTGGCAGTCATCAGAGGGAAGGAATGGGGTTGGAATTCTTTCAAAGCTTCATTCTTAGAGAACTGTCATTATTTGACCTGTATAGTAGTTTCCTGGAAGATCTCACTTGCAAAGCTGTCTCTGACTTGACTTGGAACTCAAGTTCACCAAATCTTGGAGCTCAGAGCTCACCAAGTACAAAAAAGTCTTTTCCCTTAGAAGTGTTTGTTGAAACAATTAGAGACACTTGTTTTTGGCTGCCTTAGAAGATGATTCATCATCAGCTGGGGCAACTAATAGTCTAACTAAAAAGTATAAAGGAAAAGTCAGGGAATGAGCTGTCCATAGGGGCTTTAAAAAGTTCCAATACATTCCTACAAATCTAGACGGTAATGTGCATGCCCAGGTCTATAAACAAATTCAGGAAACAACCAAGAAAGCCCTAAATGCTCACCCAGAGCTGACCCTGAAGCTGTATAAGCAGGAAGTAAAGTCAAGGCTCAGTTAAGAACTGGCTGGTTGAATGCTGAAAGTGCAAATTATGGAATATACCAAGAAACAAAAAACTGTGGCCTATACATAGGGGAAAAGGCAATTAATAGAAACTGAGAAAATCCTGACATTGGACTTTCTAGACAAAGACATCTACATCAGTTATTTTATCCAAGCTCAGTGGCAACATGCTTGTAATTCCAGAGATTTGGAGGGTTGAGGCAGGAGGAACACAAGTCAGAGGTCAACCAAGGCAAGTTAGCGAGTTCTTATCTCTAAATAAAAGGTAGAGWGCCCTGAGTTCAATCCCCAGTACCAAAAAAAAAAAAAAAAAAAATCCACTATTTTAAATATATTCAAACAAATAAAGGAGACAGGCATGGTGGCACTTTACTGCAATCCCAGAGATTTAGGAAGCTGAGGCAGGAGGATTCCAAGTTCAAGGCCAGCTTCAGCAACATAGTGAGGGCCTAAGCAACTTAGCAAGACCCTGTCTCAAAATAAAAATAAAAAGGCAGGGCAGGGCATGAACCCAGTGCTTCCAGGTTCAATCTCCAGTACCCTCACCCCCCAAAAAAATAAAGGAAACCATATCTAAAACACTAAAGGAGGGCTGGGGATGTGGCTCAAGTGGTAGCGCGCTCGCCTGGCATGCGTGCGGCCCGGGTTCGATCCTCAGCACCACATATAAACAAAGATGCTGTGTCCRCCAAATACTGAAAAATAAATATTAAAGTTCTCTCTCTCTCTCCCTCTTTCTCATTATCTCTCACTCTTTCTTTAAAAAAATAAATAAATAGATTAAAAAAATAAAACACTAAAGGAAGTGATAAGATGGCATCTCAACAGTGAATATCAATAAAGGAAAATTACATAAAAAAGAACCAAATATAAATTCTGGAGTTGAAAAGTATAACTAAATGAGAACTTCACTAGAAGGGCTCATTAGCAGATATAAGAAAGCAGAAATAGAATCAGCAAATTTAATTTTAAGTCTATTGAAATTGTTCTGGGGAAGAAAATAATGAAGAAAATTGGACAAAGTTTCAGAGACCTTGATGGGGCACTATCAAGGTTACCAATGTTTGTACAGTGGGAGTTTCAAAAGAAGTGGAAAGAGGCACAGAGGCAGAAAGAATACTTTGAMAATAATAGCCCAAAACTTCCCAAATGAGCTGAAAAATGACCTACAAATTCATGAAGCTCAACAAACCTCAAATAGGATAAACTCAAAGAAAGTTACAACAAGACATATTGTAATCAAACCTAACCTTTTCTTTTTTTCTCCTTATTAGGGTAGCTGGTGCAAATATCCGAGAGAGAGAGAGAGAGAGAGAGAGAGAGAGAGAGAGAGAGAGAGCGCGCGCGCGCGCACACACWCTCTCTCTCTCTGAGTTCAAACACAAGTTTATTCACAGAGAATATCTGCCAGACTGTCCTTCTGCAAGGTGCAGCAGCCARTGTCACTAGAATGGAAGCTTATATATCTTTGGACAAGGAACAAGAGCAAACTAGAGTTGATCTTGAGTGCAGGTGCTTGGGTAACAACAGTTTTTTGTGTTTAGGGACCTTGGGGCCAGGGGATTATGGGAACAGGGTATCTTAAGTCTCTTTCTCTTGGCAGTTTGTAAGTTTCAGTTTGGGTCAAGATGGAGTCCTAGAACCAAAATGGAGTTACTAATGTCTAGGGCCTAACACTCCTCCTCTAAAATAGGCTCTATGATAACCACCCGTACATACAGTTTTATTGTGAAGATTAAATGAACTGATACATTGTAAGATACTACACATTAATATAAGAGGTTCAATTCCTTACTTGGTTTTAAGTTCATTTAATCATTGGCTATTTTAATGAAGAACAGGAAAAAGCAAGGTATTGTCAGAGAGTAACAAGAAAGGCCTCTCTGTGAAATGGACTCAAGACCTACAGGATGATAAAGATCCAGCCAAACAAAGTGGGCAGAATTTAGGAGAGAGTGTTATCATATACCAAGGTCATCTCATTATATGAAACAATGTTCATCCTTATTTTAAATATCCCTAAAACTGTTGTGTTGGCTCATTAAGTGATTTGAAGGTACGGAACAGGCAAAGTGAAGRGAGAGTCAGGAAGATCAAAGGCAAATCTGGAGTTTGATTAAAGAAAAAGAGGAATTATTTTAAGAATGTAAAAGTGATTAATATCATAGAAAACTGCTGCATGTCTGGTAGAAGAGGAATGAAAATGGCCATTAAGTCTTGTAATTGGAAGCCCTTGAATAGGTTGAAGAGTGTAGGAAAAATGTAAAAGTAAAAAGGTATTGGAAACCCTTTTAAGAAGGGAAACAGAGGGCTGAGGTTATAGCTCAGTGGCAGAGTACTTGCCTAGTGTGAAACACTGGATTCAATTCTCAGCATCACATATAAATATATAAAATAAAGGTCCATCAACAGCTAAAAAAAAAAGGAAAGGAAGCAGACATTCTACTATCATGTATATCTAAAACAAGAACAAATTAAAAAAAGAAGGTAAGCAGGATGTCCAATGCCATTTTACTTCTTCAAACAAAGAATCTTGAAAGCAGCAAGACAGAAGTCACTCATCATGTACAAGGGATGCTCAATAAGATTAGCAGTGAGAGGCCAGGGTTGTGGCTCAGTGGTAGAGCGCTTGCCTAGCATGAATGAGGTACTGGGTTTGATCCCTGGCACCACATAAAAATAAACAAATAAAGGTAAAAAAATATATATATATTTAAAAAAAGATTAGCATTGAATTTTCATCAGACACCATGAAGGCCAGAACAGTGGGATAACATATTTAAAGTGCTGAAAGACTATCAACCAAAAATTTATATCCAGCAAGATCATCCTTCAAAAATGAAAAAGAAATTAAGACACTCCCAGAGAAATAAATATTTAGACAGAATTCAGCACTATAAAATATGCCTTGCCAGGCATGGTGGCACATGCCTATAATCCCAGTGACTCTGGAGGCTGAGGCAAGAGGATTGCAAGTTCAAAGCTAGCTTCATCAACTTAGCTAGAGGCCCTAAGTAACTTAGTGCTCAAAATACAAAGAGCTGGGATGTGGCTCAGTGGGTAAGCACCCCTGGGTTCAGTTGCTGGTACAAAAAAAAAAAAAAACACCTCCCTGACAGTAAGACATAGGGGCACATACATGTAATRCCAGCTACTTGGGAGGCTGAGGTAGGAAGATGGCAAGTTTTTTTTTGTTGTTGTTACTTTTTTAGTTGTAGTTGGACACAATACTTTTATTTATTTATTTTTATGTGGTGGAGGATCGAACCCAGCACATATGCATACATACACACACACACACACACACACACATACACACACACATATTTTGAGACAGGATCTCAGTTGTTTAGGGCCTCACCAAATTGCTGAGACTGGACTCAAACTTGCTATCCTCCTGCAGCAGCCTCCCAAGTTTCTGGGATTGTAGATGTATGCCACCACTCCAGGCAGCAAGAGACTCAATCTCAAAAACAAAATAAAACAAAACAAAAAACAAGTAGAGGATAAAGGAGCTGGAGGTATAGTTTAGTGGTACACTGTGTGTGCCTAATATATGCAAGGTCCTGGGTTTAATCACAAGCAACATGCACAGGGGAAAAAAAAAAAAAGGAAGGCAGACAGGAAGGAAAGAAGAAAGAAAAAGATACTTCATGCAAACCATGAACAGAAGAGAGGAGTGGTTATACTAATAACAAACTAAATTAAAAAAAAATATTACTAGAGACAAAGAATGGCATTATGTAATGATAAAAGAGTCAATCCATCAAGAAGACATAAATTTACATATATGTACCTAATAACAGTTCTAAAATAAAGTAAAATCTGACATAATTGGGGCTGGGTACAGTGGTACACGGTTATAATCCCAGTGTCTCAGGAGGCTGAGGCAGGAAGCAAATTCAAAGCCAATCTCAACAACAGCAAGGCACTAAGCAACTCAGTGAGACCCTGCCTCTAAAATAAATAAATATGAAATTTAAATAATTTTATATTTATATAAAAATAAATAAATAAATATAAAAATAGGGCTAGGGATGTGGCTCTGTGGTAAAGTGCCCCTGGGTTCCCAGGTATGTACCCCCCAACACATGAAAAAAAAAAAAAAAAACCTGACATAATTGAAGAAAAAATTAGACAAGTCCATAGTAATAGTTGAAGACTTCAATACCCTACTTAAAAAAAAAAATAGAATAACTAGACAGAAGATCCAGCAAGAAACAGAAGCATGGCAACTGAATACCACTATATACCAACTAAACCTACTAAAATTTATAGAATATTTTATCCAAGGGCAGAAAATAAATTCTTCCTAAGTGCATATAAAACGTTTTCCAAGACAGATAACGTTAAGCCATAAATTTTTTAAAAATCAATGTGTCCCCAATCACAAAGCAATGGAATTCAAAATAAATAATGGAGACATTTGGAAAATTCACAAAATGTGGATTTTTTTTAATATTTATTTTTTAGTTGTAGGTGGACACAATACCTTTATTTTTTTAGTTTTTTTATGTGGTGCTGAGCATCGAACCCAGGGCCTCATGAATGCTAAGCAAGCACTCTTCCTCTAAATCACAACCCCAGCCCAATATGTGGATATTAACACGCYACTAAATAGTCAATGGGTCAAAGAGAAAAAAAAAAATCACAAGGACATTAGGAAATACGTTTTTTTTCTTTTGGGGGTTACTGAAAATYGAACCCAGGGGTATTCCCCTGAGCTACATCCTCAGCTCTCTCTTATTTATTGGCACCTGGAATTAAACTCAGGAGCACTTAACCACTGAACCACATCTCCTGCCCTTTTTAATTTTATTTTGAGACCGAGTCTCACTAAATTGCTGAAGCTGGCTTTGAACTTGCAATTCTCCTGCCTCAGCCTCCTGAAACACTGGGATTACAGATGTGTGCCACCATGCCCACCTAGCCCTTTTCTTTTTTGAGACAGGGGCTTGCTAAATTGCCTGGGCTGGCCTCAAACTTGCAATCCTCTTGCCTCAGTCTTCCAAGTTGCTGGAATTACAGGAACAGCYCTCTGTGCCCAGCTTAGAAAACAATTCAAGATGAATAAAAACAAAAACACAATAAACTAACCTTATAGGATGCAATGAAAGCAGTACTAAAGTGAAATTTATGACTGCAGATATCTATATCATAAATGTCTAATATCAATAATTTAACCTTCTACCTAAGAAAATAGAAAAAGAACAAACTAAACCCAAAATAACCAGAAGAAATAAGATTAAATCACAAATACATGAAATACAGAATAGAAAACAATATAGAACACCAAAAGTTGGTTCTTTGAAATGGCTGACCAAGACAAAAGAAAAGATTCCAGTTACCAAAACCAGGAATGAAAGAGGAAACAATACTACCAACCTGACTTAAATAAATTGACTAGACCATCTACATTTTTCAAAGGGGTCAATGTGGAAGAACTGGAGGAAAAATCTCTGAATTTTTCAAATGAAAAGGATTTGGAGCAGGGTGTGGTAGTGCAGCCTGTAATCCCAGCAGCTCCAGAGGCTGAGGCAGGAGAATCGTGAGTTCTATGCCTGCCTCAGCAACTTAGTGAGGTTCTGAGGAATTCGGGCAAGACCCTGCCTCTAAATAAAATGTTAAAAAGGCTGGGGATGTGGCTCACTGGTTAAGAGCCCCTGAGTTCAATCCCTGGTACAAAAAAAAAAAAAAAAAAAAAAGGACTCAGAAATTTCAAATTTGTTTTTTGTGAAAGAAAAAGAAAATCCTCTCTGATACGTTTCTCTTGGGACTGGCTGATGCCCTTGAAAACAGCAACAACAATTATAGTTTTTTTTTTCTTATATATATATTTTTTAGTTGTAGTTGGACACAATGCCTTTATTTTATTTATTTTTATGTGGTGCTGAGAATTGAACCCAGTGCCTCGCATGGGCTAGGTGAGTGCTCCACCGCCGAGTCATAACCTCAGCCCCAACAACTATAGTTTTAAGAGGACAAAAATAAGAAATTAGGTGGAGAAATAAAAATATTCCTTCATTGAAATATATTTATGTTTAATACACAGTGCAAAAGCCAGACATCCTTCAGTCTAACAATTTACATTGTCCTTTTAGACCTAATTTGTACTGCCATCTTGTGGCAGTTTTTAAAATTCAAGTTAATTATTTTACTCAGAAGTAATTTTGAATTTCCTGAGCAGAAATTTTCAATGGCTTTCTGTTACTCAACTTTATTTTCCCCATTATCAGTTTGAGAATAAAAATATCATAGTTTTCAAACATGTAATATATGTCTTGAGATCTGGAGTAACTGTCTAGGGAAAAAAAACMGTGAAATGACACTTTGTACAGAAAACCAGAAATCTGTTGATTTCTACACAGAATATGTTGACTTTTGAYACCTTCTCCCCCTCCCCCTGTCTCACCAGCATTAGAGTCTCTGGGAGTGCTCCTTCCCTGCCGTCCTCTGCCTCCCTAGTGGACAAATAATAAACATTAATAATACTTCCTGTTTCTCTGCAACTACACATTCAAGCATATATTGTTCTCCCAGAGTAGTCACACTAGTTCAAGAAAGATCCATACTTTACTACTTCTAAAATTAACATGATAGACACTGCTAATTTCATCCTTGAACACTTCTATTATTTCTATCCCTATCGATTCAGTGTCAGCTTCTAATATCAGGTCTCCATTGCCAAACAAACAAAAAAGGTCTGCAGGGCATCAAATAGTTTCTGCCAAAGCCAGGATAAGTTTCAGAATCCTGACTTAAATTGTTGCTTTCATTCAGCTTTAGAAATGAAATTTTGAAAAGAGAAAGTGAATATTACTTACTTGGCCCGCACTACCAAAGCCAGCCACTCTATAAGGGAGAGACTCCACAGAGGAGGATCGACTATATAAGATGAGACAAAAAATTTGGTATTGAACTTTGACATGGACCCAAATTCTCTTAAGTCCCAACCTGAGCCACATCTAGGTATTTACTTCATCTTCCAACTTTTGCCAACAGTTTTTCATGTTGCAGTAAAGGTCTTATACTTACCTGACCACTTGGCTGCTCTGCTGGAAACTGAGTCGTGGAGTAACTGAAAGAGAATAACATGCAGGATAAAAAGCTGTCACCACTAGTGCATGCTGCCTTGGTTACCTGGTTGTATGATGTTTTTCATATCATACATAATATTAGGAAAATCACATTATGTTCTCTGAGAGAAAACAATTTTCCATGAGAAAATATATTTATTCATCTCACACAGATATGTGGTCAAAAATATATTGTCTACCTGACTGTGATGGAGAAGTAATGCCCACTGGTCGAGGTGTGGTCAGCCTGCAAGCAAAAAGAGGTAGCTCTAATCTCACTAAGCATAAGTGTCATTTTAGAGGATCAATCAGATCATTGTTTATAGAAACAGTAACTTCCTCTCTGAATAGATTGTTTATCTTATGTATTAGAATTATCACTCCAAAATATGGAAGCAAAGCTTCCATAAGATCCCTTTACTCTCCAACTCCTAAGCAAGAACTTCTCCACTCCCCTATTCTCCATAGTAGAAGTTCTTCTGAAGTACTTGTTTTCTTCCTTTCCACAGTGCCTCATCAAATACTGTCAACCTTACATCTCTTAATGTATTCATACATCCCTCCATCCTCCAACCCATCAAACCCATCTATCCAACAAGTATTTTTTATGTCGATATATATCCTAGATCTCTAAATTACAAAATAACTTGAATAAGATTCCTCTCTTTGAGAGACTCACAGGCTAATGAGAGATACTTTGTTAAAAAAAAAAAAATCAGGGGCAGAGCTGGGGTTGTGGCTCAGCGGTATAGTGCTTGCCTAGCACATGTGAGGCCCTGGGTTCAATCTTCAGCACCACATAAAAATAAATTAATAAAAAATAGGTATTATGTCCAACTACTACAAAAAATAGAATATTAAAAAAAAATCAGGGGCTAAGGATATAACTTAGTGATAGAATACTTGCCTAGCATGCACAAGACTCTGAATTTGATTCTCAGGATTAAAAAAAGAATAAAAATAACGTTTATTATAATGGGTGTATTGAAAGTACAAAAGAAAAAACACTAGGCAGTAACTTATATGAGTGAAGGGTGTCATGTCTTTTTCATCCACTGATTCAGGGTTTATTATAATGGGTATATTGAAAGTTCAAAAGAAAAAACACTAGGCAGTAACTTATGTGAGTGAAGGGTGTCATGTCTTTTTCATCCACTGATTCAGGGTTGGTATTCAAAATATTTAACAGTTGGTAGGACACCCATGTCACCAACTAAAAAGGACTAGTGCTGTAGACCCACCTAATATAGTACTTTAGAAACTAGAGTAGGCAGTGAATCAATATTTATTGAATGAATGAACACAACATCTAACTCCACCTAATGCAGTCTTTGCAGAGGATATTATGTGAGTTGAATTCTGAAGGATGAGTAGTGTGACTATCTTATGATAGTCAAGGGTATTACAATCAAGATTTCACTTTAACTAAACAAATTTCACTTCAGCACTTTTCAGTGAATAATTCTTTCTCAGAGAAATACGAGAGAAATTCATCAATCATTTTCTTTATCTTGAAGCCCACACAGCCAGGAGTCAAGAAAGAAGAGGCTCAAAGCTTCCTATCACAAGGAAATGATAAACATTTAAGGAATGGGAATTTAATTACCTTGATTTTTATCATTACATATTGTATAACTGTATTAAATTATCACATTTACCCCATAAATTGTTTTACAATGGGTACAATTGATATGTCAATTAAAATATTTTTTTAGGAAAAAAAAGAAGTTTTCGAGATGGGGGCGGGGCCAGTATAGTTGCTCATAAACTAACCTGTTTCCTTGGTACCGACTTGGAGATTCCTGTGGGTGAAAAAATGGGAAAAAGGAAGCTGAAGATCAAAGGTCCTAATCAATGGATCTCAGTCTTACTTGTTAGATAACTCAGATACAATGTCTCTTAATTATGGCTGCTAAGGTTTCCTACTAGCTAGGAGAAAAAACAGGAGCAATGTTTCCTTAGGAAATTATTAGCTTTGATGAAATACAATGTTAGTTGTTTTTTTTTTTTTTTTTAAAGAGAGAGTGAGAGAGAGAGGGGGACAGAGAGAGAGAGAGAATTTTAACATTTATTTTTTCTTAGTTCTCGGCGGACACAACATCTTCATTTGTATGTGGTGCTGAGGATCGAACCGGGGCCGCACGGACGCTAGGCGAGCGCGCTAGCGCTTGAGCCACATCCCCAGCCCCAATGTTAGTTTTTCTTTATAAGAGCACACTGGGAATCCTACAGACCAAAATATGTAGTGAAATATGGAGAGTTTCTAGGGATTGAAAGGAACATAAAATGACCACAATATGCTAGATCAGTTATAGGAATGAGATCAACAAAATTATATAAATACACAGAATACTTTTAGGAAAAAAAGAAATGTCTAGGGAGTGTTTGGGAGGGTCCTGAGGTGTCTTGGGCTTCTTGAAGTGACAATCTGAGCTGCAACAGATGTCTCTTTCATGTATAAGAAAGCTTCCTAATTGGTAYGTCAAAACTCACTAATCTTCAATGGGTTACAAGTGTACTAATATTACTACTTACATCCCTCTAAGGTCTCTGTAGCCTTTTCCTTTATTTCAGTGTGCTTGACACACAATATCAGTTTCCATGTGTGTCATCATATGAAAAAAGTTAGGATGCCCTATTTTATTATAGCCAGCTATATTGATAGATGGAAAAGCAGGAGAGAAAATAATAGGAAAGCAGGAGAGAAAATAATAGAAAAGAAACTCTATTTCATTCACCTTTAGTAGGGCTAGAAATTTCTTCAGTTCTCCATTCTCCTTTCTTAAGGTTGACAGCTCTCTAGGCGAACAATGGAAATAATCAGCTCCAGGTCAGTTGGAGAAAAAGTCTTAATATCACCATCATCATCAACAACATCATCATCATCTAGTTAATGCTTACTAAGAGATACTTGAAGATAAACATGGCAAAGCTTTGATGGTGAAATAATCAAGTGGGCAAAAATAAGCAGTCACTTGATATGATTTCAGGGGAGTTACCACAGAATTCCATTTCCTCTCCATATATCCAATTATGTACCTGAATATACATTGGGCAATTTTCTTTTTTTTTTTTTTAATATTTATTTTTTTCATTTTCGGCAGACACAACATCTTTGTATGTGGTGCTGAGGACCGAACCGGGCCGCACACATGCCAGGTGAGCACGTTACTGCTTGAGCCACATCCCCAGCCCCCATTGGGCAATTTTCAGTCTTTGCAACCACAAGAAAATAAGGATGACAGTTTCTCTGAAAAAAAAAAAAAAAAAAAAGCTATGTGGACATATGACTTGTCACTTACTTGTCCTGGCTGGCCACTGTTTGCTGTGCTTCCTGTAAGGCTGCTTCTAACTTTGTAATTCTATGCTTATAAAAGGCGATGAGGAGATCTGTTTGTTTCTTCTGGAAACTCCACACCTATTAGGGAAAAACAGGTCTTTGACATCACTCCCATAACTTTCTTCCCCCCACTTCTGGCAAGAGAAGAAAATCCATCAATTCATACTTTATTATTGCTCTTCCCCACCCCACCCCACCCCCGCCCCAGGATATCTGGTTTAATTCAAGACTCCTCCAAATTAGAGAGTTCAGCACTAGAGAAAGCTGAAGGTTTTTATTTTCAGAACACTGGCTTTCTAATAATGAAAATATGGTCCTTTAAAAATATAATCATTCATCCTGAGCAAAAACTGTTTTTCAAGCTCAGAATCAGTTCCACCTTGCCTACAACGATGAGCTTGAACACTGGTAACCAATTTATATTCCCTAAGACACTTGTGGGCTATTTATACTGCTRCAGTAAAGGGTGAAGAGGCACCAGGACAGTATCTATTCCTGAATCTTATTTCTGGGCATGAACATATAATTTTATTTTTTGTGTCACTTTAGCATTTGTTATACGATGTACCCATTGTGAGATTGCTGAATCAGATCTAAAGTTAATATTTAGAATGTGTTTTGGTTTGTCAGGCTCTACTTTTGAGTACACAGCAATAATTATGTCTCATCTGCTTACTCCCTGCTCAGACTATAAACTTTTTGTCAAGGGTCCTTCCCTAGATCTTAGTACTCATCCCATAAACTTTTTTTTTCCTCATTTAATTTGCAATTTGATCTTGCCACTTCCCTACAGAATTATATTTATATAATCTCTAACTTAATCTTTCTTTTAGACTTAAAGGCAAACWAAATTAGTTATAGATAGATAAAAACTTATTGTGCACTACTTTATTTTTATTTATTTTTTTGTACTGGGGATTGCATCCAGGGGAGCTCAACCACTGAGCTACATTCYCACATCCACAGCCCTTTTTATTTTTTGAGACAGTGTTGCTAAGTTGCTGAGGCTGACCTCAAACTTGTGATTCTCCTACCTCCTGAGTTGCTGGGAATACAAACATGTGCCATCATGCCTGGTTCCAATTTTTAATTCAATTAGGAATGGAGAAGCTCTGTTCAATTAGTGACCAGATTTTATTCCAATGGTAATGTGGTAATTATTTATATATTAGGGGAAAAAAAACACATGATTTCAAAAGTCTTTTAAAAAAACATAAAGCTGGATATGGTAGCACACACCCGGAATTGCAGCAACTTGGCAGGCTGAGGCAAGAGGATTGCAAGTTCAAGGCCAGCCTCAGCAACTTAGCCAGGCCTTGTCCCAAAATAAAAAATAAAAGGGGCTGGGGATGGAGCTGAGCAATAAAGTACCCTTGGGTTCAATCCCCAATACCACAAAACAAACAAACAAACAAAAAAGCCCATAAAGTAGAACAGGGGTTAGCAAACTACTGACTGATGAATGCTTTGAACTGTGACAGAGATTGCATGGTTTAGGAAGCCTAAAATATTTACTAGCTTGCTGTTGTCTGAATGTTTGTGTCCCTCAAGATTCATAATTTAAAACCTAACCCCTGATATAACAGTGTGGGGTCTTTGGCCCGTGATTAGTTCCACAGAGCAGAGCACTCTGAAATGGGATTAGTGCCTTAGAAGGATTGAGGGATCCTGTTTGCCCCTTTTGCTCCTTGAGGATGCAGCAAGAGGGAGCCATCTTAGCAGAAAGTAGTGAGCCCTAACAATACATTGAATCTGCTGGGCCTTGATCTTGGACTGACCAAGATCTGTGAATGATACGTTTCTGTTGTTTATAAATTACCCAGTCTAAGGTATTTTATTCAGTCATACAAATAGCCTAAAATGGCTAGTGAAATTACATAATGGTATAGCCACTTGAAAGAACTGTTGGCAGCTCCTCAAAAAGTTAAACATAACAGCACAAACAGCTCTGTACTTGTGTAAGAGATTCATAAAAATATTAAACATTTAGAATGTTCCACTTGAAATAAATTCAATTACAGATCAAAATTTCAAAATGAAAAAGGTCTGTCTCAATTGGGGGACTAGATATATTCACAGATGGTTGGTTCTGGCCTGAAAGATGGGAAGGACTACATCTATTTCTGTAAAGAGATTTGTTCTTCTTTGATAAAAAGTCAACCATATTAAATGTTAGTAATATTCCACATCATGTACAACCACAAGAATGGGATCTTAATTAGAATAAGTTATACAACAATGTATGTATAATATGTTAAAATACACTTTATTGTAATGTATATCTAAAAGAACATATAAAAACAAACAAATAAATGTTGGTGATGAGGAATAATGACTCACATGGTAAAAGAATCCTGTTTTTACCTGTATATCGGGAGCCACTCTGGACAGGAGCTATGTACACACTTTTAAGTCATGAGTAAAGGGGTATTGCACCCTGCAATACATTGGACTTTTACCCCCACCCCCAACCTCAGATAATGAGGTGTGTTTCCAGGAGTGGGTATCACTTGTTGGCGTTGAGTTATACTCACTTGTTCCTTTGTAATCCTACCCCTTTGCCCTTTTGGGGATAGAATGTTCCATGGAACCTCCCCTTGTGTATCCCCTGTGTAAAAATAAAGAATTCCAGTGGCTCTCTCTCTTTCCCCAGACCCCTAAGGTCACAGAACCATCTCCAGATTTTGAAAAGGTACTTCTGTGTGTTGGCGTACTTTCTCCGCCGTTTTCTTAAGTTATTAGAGTAATCAGATTTTATGAAGCCAGCATAGGTCACCAGGTCGAACAGATGGTAATAACTATATTTTCCACTATATATATTTCATTATTTAAACCACACCTATCTATTTCACTCCATAAGTGAAACTATCAGAGTAGTCCCAATTAATAAATAAAAATATATCCTTGTATGTTTCAATTTTCTAAGTCAAAGATGTATTTTTAGTGACTTGGATTCAGTTGATATCTTCAGGTACTTGGTAATATATATACTATGCTCACAGAATAAAAGATTCAGGAGACTGGGGTTGTAGGTCAGCAGTAGAGCGCTCGCCTAGCGCATGCGAGACCCTGGGTTTGATCCTCTGCACCATATAAAAATAAAGGTATTGTGTCCAACTACAACTAAAAAGTAAAATATTAAAAAAAAAAAGATTCAATAGCTGCAATTATTTTTCCATGCTATGGCTATCAGCGCCTGTTCAATTATTGTTACATCAGATTTACATGAATATTTTTAGGGTGATGCAAAGTAATTTAACTTTAAAATTGTCCAATGAGCTGAGACAAATGGTATTTTTTGTTTATTTCACTGACTTGTGAATTTTTAAATCTTATCAATAAAACATACGTTAAGTTATGGAATAAAAAAAGTTAAGCATAAGCTGGGTACAGTGGTACATGCCTATAGTCCCAATACTTCAGAGGCTGAGACAGGAGGATCACTTGAACCAGGGAATTCAAGATAGCCTGGGCAACACAGCCAGACCTCATCTCAAAAAATAAACCAAAAGGGTAGGGATGTAACTCAATGGTAATGTGCTTGCATAGCATGAGTGATCCTAATCCCATGCATGGGTTCAATCCCTAGCATCATACATATACACACACAAAAAAAATGTTAAACGTACAGTTATCATTTGACCCAGTGATTTCACTACTATGTATCTACCAAAGACAAATGAAAATATGCCAGGGATTGTTGCACACACCTATAATCCCTGCAATTTAGGAGTCTGAGACAGGAGGATCACAAATTTAAAGTCAGTTTCAACAACTTAGCAAGACCCTGTCTTAAAACAAAAAATAAAGGACTGGGGATGTAGCTCAGAGATAAAGGGTCCCTGGGTTCAATCTCTAGTACAAAAAAAGGAGGTGAGGCTGGGGTTGTGGCTCAGTGGAAGAGCACTTGCTTAGCATGTGTGAGGCACTAGATTCGATTCTCAGCACTACATATAAAATAAAGGTCCATCAAGGTCTAAAAAAATATTTGAGAGAGAAAGAAATGAAAATATATACCCATACAAAAGCTTTCAATGTTCCACAGAAACATTCACAGGAAAAAGTAGAAGCTACACAAATGTCAATCCATGGATGGATAARTAACATGCATACCAATCTATATAGTGGAATATTATTTGGCCATAAAAAGGAATAAAATATTAATAAGGCTGTGACATTATGAATAACATGCTTGGTTAATGCAGTCAGACACAAGAGCACACAAGGTAAGATTTTTTTTTTTTTAAGTACTGGGGATCAAACCCAGGACACCTTGCACCTGCTAGGCAACTACTCTACCTCTGAGCCTTATCCCCAGCCCATATAATTCCACWTTTATGAAATGTCCTGAATAGTCAAATCTATAGGAATAGAAAGTAAATTGTCTGGGGTTGCAGAGGATGGGAAAGATTTGGGAAGTACCTGTTAATGAGTTTAGGATTTCTTTTGGGGTGATGAAAATGTTTCTAAAATTAGGTAGTAGTGATTGTACAATTCTATGAATTTTTTGAAAATCACCAAATTGCATAATTTAAAAGGGCAAGTAAAAATATCTCAATAAAGCTGTTATTTAAAAAGTAGGTGTGGGGCTGGGGATGTGGCTCAAGTGGTAGCGCGCTTGCCTGGCATGCGTGCGGCCCGGGTTCGATCCTCAGCACCACATACAAACAAAGATGTTGTGTCCCTTGAAAACTAAAAAAAAATAAATGTCAATCTTTCTAAAAAAATTTAAAAATAAATAAATAAATAAATAAAAGTAGGTGTATTTTATAATTCCCTTTGAAATTTATTTTAATATAAATATTTCTTTTACTTATATGGTCTGTATTGTCCTGTAGGTTTATGATCTTTTATAACCTTCTATGAATTTTCCACATTACTTTTGAAACAAACAAAGTACTTGATAGCTTTCAGAATGCTTTCATCTCATTAGATAATTACCAGAAGTAGGATGAGGCTAGCACCTTATTCAATGATAGAGCTTGCCTGGCCTACATGAGGCCCTGTGTTCAATCCCCAGCACCAAAAAGAAAGAAAGAAAAGGATGAATATTCTTATTTTACAATACATGTGAGGGA